TTTTCAATAAAAGATTTTGAATCAATAAAAGATTTTGAAGTTTATTGATGTCATTTGATTTTTTGTAATTTTATATAATTTTTTAAATAAATTTATGAAAGGTTCATTTTGTTTTATTTATTAAATAATGTGTAAAATTGTATAGATAACTTTTATTCTTACAGAATGAAAAATAATTTTCCCTTTATCCCATTGAAAGTACATTCCTTTGAATTTTGGAATCAATTTTTTTTTAAACTTACAAATTATACAATGAGATAAAAAAATAATGATCTTGAAATTTCTTATGTTATCAGTAGATGATACAAGAATACAAACATAACCCGTGGGGAAAAAAATGTTTAGTTATAGGAATCTGGGTCAAAAAGCTTTGATGCTATTTGTTGGACAAAAGATTTGTTATTATTTCAAATCATACGATTTTGACTTTATATATCTAAGAAAGTACTGATGAGTTTCATAGACATCGTAACTAGCAGAATTTTGATAAATCATCAACAATTTGACTTGCAAAAAATATTTTCTTTTTATTTTAATGTCCTGAATATACACATATTTATACTTTTTCAAAAGGATTTGTTGGCAATCAAGACATAAGAATAATCTTTGAAAAGTAACCAAAAATTTTAACAATTCATTTATGATCTGGAATTTTTTCAAAACATGAATTCAAGAAAAATAATTTGATAATGATTAAGATTTGTTAGGAAAATTTTGTTTTATCAAGAAATAAAGTCACAGTTATAAAGAACAATTAAAAGAACTTTGACGAACAACTGAAAAGATTTAAAACTCAGGCAAAATTTTAAAGAAATATAGAAATGTGAAAGACTCAAGAAATCTAAATGCATTCAGTAGTCTCAATGTAGATTATCATTCAAATGGTATGTGGAATTTTGAAAACTATTTACTAGCTGTCAGTTTTTTATATTATGTCCATAAAATCTATAATATTTTGAAATAAGGAAATTCTAAATCTTTTGATATTTCAAATAGATTGAGGTCATTCAGCAAATAAAAGCAAATAAAGATTGAAAATTATCAAGTTTTTTGATAGTTTCTTTTTGTCACACTATGATAAAATTGTATGATTGAATCAATATGCGGATATCTTTGATATTTAGTAACTCCATGATATAAAACTTACATGCATAGTTTCATTTGTAGAATGTATGTTGATATGATAATAAAATCTATATTATATTTTGATAAACATTTCTATATATAAAACAAAATTTTCCATCAACATTTCATCTTTTCAGAGTTGTTTCAACTTGAATAAAAAATGCATCAAAAGCTTTGATGTGTGTGGGTTTGTTGATATACACCTTTAAAAATGACTAATGACACTTTGATCACCTTCTTCTTTTAACTTTAGTAACAAAATTGTAAATATCTATCATTTTACCTCATAAATAGAGTTGTTTTCTTGAAAAATATGTTTGATGCATCAATTCTGATGATATATCTATTCAAAAGTTACTAAGAGTCAAAGCGCCAAATATTAAAAACAACTGAAAAAGTTTGGAAAATTGTACAACCAAAATCTCTAAAGCAGATGTTATACAAGCAGATGTTAATCGTAAGAACAATGTTATACAATGATGTCTTGTTTGAAACAATTCTTTAGATCTTGTTTATGAGTTAAACATTTTGAGATGGGAAGTATCATCAAATAAATATGCAAATTAGACTACGCATCCAATAGAAAGATATTTAATCACATTTTAAAATTTTGCAGCAAAACTATATCTGAATATGCTTTAAACAGAAAAAAGAGAGACAAAGAGATGAAATATAATGTTTACGTTTCAACTATTTTATCAAATGAGCAATGCGTTTTATCTCTTTCATATGACATGTTTGGATTTGTGATATGAGCACAGAGTGCAAAAGTGGCAGTATGACTTGTTTCATTTCAGTAGATATATCAATTATTTGACTTTACATGTACTATTACACCAGATGTTCATATGAAGTCACATATCACTGTTATCTTGCATTTAGCATCAGAGTTATTTCGTAAGTCATGTATACAGCACAGTTTCTCTTAATTTGTAAGCAACTTCGAAAAATGTAACTTCTTGAGAGGTTTAAGGTTGATCTCAGCAAGTATCATTTTGGATCTATCAACTTCTATACGTCGCGATAAACAAGCAAGAGTGCTCGTAGCACGGACGAAATTCGATTTAAGTTTCATGTTTGAGGTGTAAAGAACACCAGACTCTGGAACTAGAACTGTGCATGAGCTCACATGCTTGGCAGTTGAGCTAGAATAATAATCATATAAGCAATCGAGAACGTCGATTGCGCTTCTACTCTGTTCAAAGTTCTTCAACATTATGTTTAGTAAAATTCCAAAGAGCTTACCAGTTTATTCTGAACCTACAAGTTATGTAGAGTTATATAGAAAAAGAAAGCACAAGAGGCATTGTCAACCAGGCCGACAGCGCATGTGCCACTCAGTTGTCAAAAGCATCCACTTTAGCTTGAATAGATTATAAAAATTCAATGAAGATGAACTTTGAAATCTTCTTTGTCAGGTGTCGACATCGTGTGTATCATCACACTGATGCATTCACTGTGACTCACATATTCGCTTGCACAACAAAGTCAAGATCTAGTCTGACCTTCTAACATCATTGTCCAATCACAGAGTAGGGTGAACTCTTCGTTGTCAGGTGACGACATCGAGTGTATCATCACACTGATGCATTAAGTGTGACTCACATATGCTGTGCGCTTGCACAACAAAGTCAGGATTTAGTCTGACCTTGTAACGCCATTGTCCAATCACAGAGTAGGGAGTAACACGCTTTTTGAGTTATAATATTTTCGCTACCTTGATCGCTCACACTTTTCAATGTAAAATCCCATATGTTTTGGCGGTAACAACGGTGAAAACACAGATCCATAGAACGTGGCAAGTAACCAGATCATGCTGTTTCTGTCGTCTTCTGTACCAAGCGATAAACAAGCAAGCAAGAGTGTTCTTAGCACGATCAAAATTCGATAACGATTTCATGTTTGTGGTCTAAAGACCTCCAAACTGTGCATGCATTCACATGCTTGACTGCTGGGGTAGAAGAACAATCATACCAGCAGTTGATAACCTCGAGTACTGGTATCCTCTGTACACAGTTCTTCGATATCATAGTTAGTAAATTCCCAAAAAGCTTATCAGTTTTTTCTGAACCTACAAGATATTTTCAATTATGTAGACAACTGCTCTGGGTCAAAAGTAAGAAAAAAAGTACCATGCTTATTACAGCTGACTACGCATGTGCCACTCAGCTGTCAGAACACGTCCACTTGCTCGAATAGATCAAACATCCCAGATAAATTGATTGATAAAGAGGATATTTGTAATTGACTTTGTCAATGTGACGTCGTCGAATATATCATCACACTGAGGCATTCACCCACGTTTCCTCTTCGCTTGCACAACAAAGTCAAGATCTTCTCTGAGATTCTGACACCGTGTTCCAATCACAGAGTATGAAGGAACACGATTTTTGTGTTCGACTGTTGTCATCACCTTGATCGCTCACACGATTCAAGGTAATGACATCAATTCAATTATGATGATGTATCTACATAAAAGTTACCAAGAGTCAAAGCGCCAAATATTAAAAACAACTGAAAAAGCTGAAAAATTCGTACAATCATAATCTCTAAAGCAGATAAAATATGGTAAGAACAATGGGATACTTCCACTCTTATTTAATACTGTCTTGTTTGAAACAATTATTTAGATCGTGTTTATGAGTTAAACATTTTGAGATGGGAACTATCATCAAATAAATATGCAAATTAGACTACGCATCCAATAGAAAGGTATATTAATCACAAATTTTAAATATTGCAGCAAAATTATATCTGAATATGCTTCAAACAGAAAAAAGAGAGACAAAGAGATGAAATAAAATGCTTACGTTTCAACTATTTTATCAAATGAGCAATGCGTTTTATCTCTTTCATATGACATGTTTGGATTTGTGATATGAGCACACGAGTGCAAAAGTGGCAGTATGACTTGTTTCATTTCAGTAAATATATCAATTACTTGACTTTACATGTACGATTACACCAGATCTTCATCTGAAGACATGTATCACTGTTATCTAGCATTTGGCATCAGAATTATTTTTTAAGTCATGTATACAGCACAGTTTCTCTTTATTTGCAAGCAACTTCAAAAAATGTAACTTCTTCAGAGGTTTAACGTTGAGCTCAGCAAGTTACTGGTTCATGCTGGTTCTATCAACTTGTATACGCCACGATAAACAAGCAAGAGTGATCGTAGCACGGACGAAATTCGATTTCAGTTTCATGTTTGAGGCCTAAAGAACACCAGACTCTGGAACTAGAGCTGTGCACTAACCTCGAGTAATGGTACACAGTATCCTCTGTACCCAGTTCTTCGATATCATAGTTAGTCAATTCCCAAAAAGCTTATCAGTTTTGTATGAACCTACTGTTCTGAGTCAAAAGTAAAAAAAAACGTAACATACTTATTACAGCTGACTACGCATGTGTCACTCAGCTGTTAGAACACGTCCACTTGCTCGAATAGATCAAACATCCCAGATGAATGGATTAATAAAGAAGAAATTTGTAATTGAATTTGTCAATGTGACGTCATTGAGTACATCATCACACTGAGGCATTCACCCACGTTTCCTCTCCGCTTGCACAACAAAGTCAAGATTACTCTGAGATTCTAACACCATGTTCCAATCACAGACTATGAAGGAACACGATTTTTGTGTTCGACTGTTGTCATCACCTTGATCGCTCACACGATTCAATGACAAGATCTGATTGAAGAGGATGCATGCGTTTTTCCCAAGCTAGCCATCGTAGTGTCTGTCTTCCCGTTGGTCTTCATGTAGCTAGATTCGCAGTCTCCCAGTACAAGTGTACATCCTGTTTTTGCACAACTCAGAGCTCGTCACATCTGAGAAATCTGCTACATCATGCATTCTATGACATTTTGCTTTCACATCGCGCGATCTTTGCTAAGAACTTGATTTCAGATACTCGCTGGTTCGCTCGTCAGACGCAAGGTCCGCTGCGCGCTGCTGCGCTCATCGACGACGACGTTGTTGCGTTGAAAGAGAGGCAGAGCAGAAGAAGAGAGGCCGTGCAAGAGCTCCGACATCTTTGATTTTCTTCTTCCCAGCCAGCGTCGGAAGGCACACGAGGTACTTTGCACAGTTTCTCTTCATTTGCAAGCAACTTCAAAAAATGTAACTTCTTTAGAGGTTTAACGTTGAGCTCAGCAAGTTCCTGGTTCATGCTGGTTCTATCAACTTGTATACGTCACGATAAACAAGCAAGAGTGATCGTAGCACGGACGAAATTCGATTTCAGTTTCATGTTTGAGGCCTAAAGAACACCAGAATCTGGAACTAGAGCTGTGCACTAACCTCGAGTAATGGTACACAGTATCCTCTGTACCCAGTTCTTCGATATCATAGTTAGTCAATTCCCAAAAAGCTTATCAGTTTTGTATGAACCTACTGTTCTGAGTCAAAAGTAAGAAAAAACGTAACATCCTTATTACAGCTGACTACGCATGTGCTACTCTTCTGGCAGAATACGTCCACTTGCTCGAATAGATCAAACATCCCAGATAAATGGAATATTAAAGAAGAAATTTGTAATTTAATTTGTCAATGTGACGTCATCGAGTACATCATCACACTGAGGCATTCACCCACGTTTCCTCTCCGCTTGCACAACAAAGTCAAGATCTACTCTGAGATTCTAACACCATGTTCCAATCACAGAGTTTTGGAACACGATATTTGTGTTCGACTGTTGTCATCACCTTGATCGCTCACACGATTCAATGACAAGATCTGAATTGAAGAGGATGCGTGCTTTTTTCCCAAGCTAGCCATCGTAGTGTCTGTCTTCCCGTTGGTCTTCATGCAGCTAGATTCGCAGTCTCCCAGTACAAGTGTACATCCTGTTTTTGCACAACTCAGAGTTCGTCACATCTGAGAAATCTGCTATATCATGCATTCTATGACATTTTGCTTTCACATCGCGCGATCTTTGCTAAGAACTTGATTTCAGATACTCGCTGGTTCGCTCGTCAGACGCAAGGTCGCTGCCCGCTGCTGCGCTCCAGTCGACGACGACGTTGCTGCGTTGAAAGAGAGGCAGAGCAGAAGAAGAGAGCTCGTGCAAGAGCTCCGACATCTTTGATTTTCTTCTTCCCAGCCAGCGTCAGAAGGCACACGAGGTACTTGGCATCCTTCACTCCGCACAGCGGCAGCGCTCGCTCTGGATAGGGAGAAGAAGGAAGAGAGGGAGAGAAGAGACCTGACTTGACCCAAGCGGAGGACGGAGAGGGCTATCTCTTGTTCACTCAGTTCGGTCACCAGTGCACATCAAACCTCTTTCTCCCAGAGTGGTTCCCGATAGACCTGAAGTCTTTTTTGCCACACGGTCCACGATTTAGATTGTAACCAGAATCCTGGTCTTCTGTGTTAATTTTGATTCCCATCGCTTGTCCCGAGCTCAACTAGACTGCTGCTTTCACTTTGCACAATTTACCTGCGTTCGTGCTGATTGCTCATGATCCTTGTATCGGAAGATCTCGAAGTGATATTTGTTTTGCTATTTGTGGACAGTGCAAGAAGTCTCATGCCCAGCAGACACTACGACGGGAAGATAAGTTTTCTTCGGGAGAGCCGGCTTTCGGATCGAGGAGAGTGCTTCCTGTAGGCCCGGTTACATTTCGCTCGCGCATGCCAAGCAGCAAACGTTTCTTAATCTCTGAGAGTGGAGGAGAGAAAGGAAGGTGCAGGTGCGTCCATCTTCAGTCACGCTGCTGAACTGGCGACACGGGAAATGGACTCCGCACACGAGGAACCGGAGCTTCCCTCCGCCATCCAGGACCTTGTACAGCGTCTGGAAGGACAAGGCGAGCCTATAACGGAGCTTCCCAGATTAAGCAGGCCAGAATTTCGGGAGTTCTTTCCCTATGGTGAATCACCCTCGACAGTCATAGGGTGGCGAAGCCAAGTGCGTCGTCGAGTGCTGGAGGCAATCGGCAGGTGCAACACCTTTGAGATTCTGGACGTGTACAATATTTGTGGGGGATATATATCAATGTTGACGCCGAGCGAGTGGGAGGTAGTTCTCAGAGGTTTCAGGTGTAGCACCGTTCTAAAAAAGATAACCGTTTATGGGTTATTCTCTTCAGATTCTCTTGATGCGGATAAAGAGAGCTTGTGTTTACAGCTGGGGAGAATTCTGAATTCCTCTAGCGGAACAGAGTTACAAGTGCGTGACGAATTGAGTGCCAGATGTCTCAGGAATCTCGCCTCAGGTCTGCGAGGACGTTCCGATTCTAAACTCAAGTCTTTAGATTTATTGGTAGCGTGGGAGGACTCGAGTGCGGTGAAGTATGTGGCTGACATGATCAATAGTGCTCCTCTATTAGAAACGTTGCGTTTCGGCGGCTATTGGGAGGACATGGAGGACGAGACCCTTGGAATCCTGTCCCAGGCTTTGATCCAGAGCTTGGCTTTGAAAGAATTTACCTTAGACTGCGCGGGGAAGTGGGCAGGGCCCTTGTTGCTGAAAGCATTGGCCGGAGACCATCGCAACCGATCCATTGAACGTCTTCGGCTGAGGAAGATGGTTGGATTCGGAGACTGTTTAAGGGAACTTCTTATTTCCAACCCATCATTGAAGACAGTGGAGCTCTACCCATCATTGAAGGAAGTGGAGCTCTACCCATCATCGAAGGAAGTGGAGCTTGTCATGGAGCCTGAGCAAGCGCACCAGCTCGGCGAAGCCATACGTGACAATGCCATAGCGACAACTATACTTGTTAGGTTTCGTGGTCAAGAATGGAAGTCAATAGAAGCTCTTGCTCGTTCTGCTAGCTCCGATGTCAATGACCCCACAGTGGAGCTTGAACTCCTTACTAGGAGTAAAGATGAAGTGATGTTATCATTAAACCTATTAGGTAGGGTACTGCGCGGGGAAATCACATCTCTGAAATCTCTGAGTATATTCTTTCTATCACCGCTAGATTATAGAAAGATTATCACGTTCAGTATACCCCCTATGAATGGAAAAAGTGGAGAAACTTCAGTCCTGAAGAGACTGGAATTATCTGTCCGAAGCGAAGATCTTTCGAAGGAGCAATGGGAGGACCTGCTTCGGTGCATGCGAGGGAACCTCACTCACTTGGATTTGTCTGACTCCGAACTCGACGAGAAGGCGTTCAGGGACCTGATGGGGGTCCTGCAAGTTAACTTGGCTCTCCAGGAAATCGACGTCTCCCGAACATCATGGGCAACTGACGGAAAGGCGGCGCAGATTGAAGAGGCCCTGAAGCAGAATCAAAAGCGGGCCGTCTACATGTCTGTGTTCCGAGAAGCCAACTTAACATTTGGAGATGCAAAAGCTGGTAGACTCTTCTTATGCGGCTCTCCTAGAGCAGGTAACAGGCCCTGTACATTCTCAGTTTTTTCCTCAATGTACACCAACTAGCAATCTATAGTTTAACTTTTCTAAAATCAAAATTGACACAACAAATGCTATTTTGATCTATATATAATGATATGTGTATACAATTAGTAACGGAAAGAAAAACATCAAATGTGTGAATCATTAGTTATATAACTTCAATTGTTTTGGTGATTTTACATTTTTAAATCAATTTATCTTCACGTTAAAATAATAACATGTCATATTGTATCTCAATAATATCAATTCAAAGCATCATTAATAAAAAGTTGTGTATTTTATGCTTTTGTTTTGTATCGTGCAGGAAAAACTCAACTGCGTAAAACCCTGATGAGTATCAATCATAGCTGGCTACTCGGAAGCAGTCTATCCATTGATTGGGTAGACTGCTTCCGAGTAGCTGAACGACTCTGGAGGACCAAAGGCATCGAAGTGGAGTATTTGCAAACTATTGACAAAATGCAAATCTCAGTTTGGGATCTTGCGGGACAATCAATTTTTCGTACCCTTCAGAATGTGCTATTTCCTCAAACCAACAATTTTTGTGTTTTTCTTTTTGTGTATAGCCCTTTTTGTGACAACACATCTAAAAACAAACCAGACTCTTGTTTCAAAACCGAGTTGGAGGATTGGTTAAGCTTCATCACATCCAGTGTTAAGATCACGGGACGTGATCTTCCCCAAGTTTTTGTTGTCATCTCTCACAAAGATAAAGCCAAATACAGCTCTGTGAGTTGGACTCAGACCATAATTGAAGAACTCAACCAAAGATTCGCAAATTTTGTGGATCTACTCCCTGTTCAAGAGTGTTTTCATGTGGATGCTAGGAATAAAAAACAAATTATTCCTCTCAACCGTCACATTCTTGAAAATTTCAACAAGTTGTTGAGTGAAAAATCTCCACAAGTTCCTCTATTATGTTCTCAACTCATCTCCCTCTTCGTTGCAGAAACCAAGAAGAACAGAAGTTGCCCTCTGTGGTCATATGATCAATTTCATGATTTTTGTGCTCCCTACTTGAAAAAATTCATTCCTTCTTCTTCTCGTCACTTTGAGGATGATTCGAAGATAATGGAGTCTATCATATTCTACTTGAATGAGGTTGGATCTATCATATACATTTCCAACCTTAAGTACATCATTGTAGATCCCAACTGGCTTACTAATACCTTCCTGGGTGAGCTGATAGCTCTTGGTCAAAACTTTCAAGCTCAAGAGACAGAGTTTTCTAATAGAACGTGCCCATACGGTGCAAGCAAGGACGGATTTGTGAGTGAGAGTGTCTTTGTTCGGTTGATAGAAGAGTTTTTGCGAGAGCAAGCACATGGCCAGAGTGGTGTGGGCAGAGAGCAGCTTGAAAACATCCTTGTCAATTTAGATTTGTGTTTCAAGCTGGAAGATAGTTCTCAGTATTTCATTCCTTCCTTCATCCCTGAGCATGCAAGCAAGGAAGAACATGACCATCAAGAAGGGGCGCACTTGAAGTTGATGTGTTGGGAAAATACAAGAGAGAATTCACAGTTTGTTGGCATTCGGATTCAGTGCCAAGATGGGAGAACAATGTCATTGACGGCTGCATTTTTTCCACGCTTCCAGGTGAGGTTGAATCATGCTTTCACACACACAGATAAATTGTTATATGCGTCAAGTTCTGTTTGTAATTTGCGTATGATGAAGCAATTGTTTCCTTTCCATTAAATGCAATGAATAATTTGAATGTCCCACTCGAGATTTACCAAATTTTCTATGATTGTAGATGTTCATGAGACGCAAGTTGAAATCCGATATGCATGTTCTCGAGGAGAATATTACCTGCTCTCGACATTATCTACGACTTTTTGATGAAGGGCATCAAATATATATCGAGCACGTTCACAGTGAAAAGTCTCACAAATACGTAGATGTTTTGATGTTATGCTCAAGGCATAAGTCAAGGGAGGAGGCTACTAAATATGTGATGAGGCATATCGTCCAGGAATTGATATTGTTTTGCGCATCATCAAAAGGCTGTCCCGGGGTGGCGTTAGTGCTAGGTGTGATTCAAACATTTTGCGTGGAGAAGCGGATTCCGAGTCATCTCAGAGGAGCCATTCTGATCGAGAATCTGAAATCGGACTTCATTTGTAGCATCAAAAACAAACTTGAGGAAACGTCAATGGAAAGGTTGCACTTGATGGAGAAGAAGGAAGAGTTGTTCAACTATGAGCACTGTTGGCCCCAGATTGAAGGGCACACTGGCGGAATATCCGAACGAGCAAGAGATTTGTTGTGGGAGAGCGATGTGGAAGCAATTGTGAACGAGATTCGACGGAAACAAATTGAAGAATTGAAGCCATTGCACGAAGGTCTAAGTAGCGTGGACAATGATTTGTCTCAGTGTTATCCTGAAGCTGAAAACATGGTTAGCGACTCAAATTTCCCGCCAATGAAAGACCTCAAATCACTCACATCCAGGTGCTTGAGTCGTGCCAGCACAAGTGTGGAGAATTCAAGTGTGGAGACCCAACTTTTTTTGTTCAAGATGGACCAGCTAAAAGAAGAGCTTGTACAAAAGATTGATGGTTTGGACGAGAGGTTGAGATTAGTGCAGAGCATTCTGCAGAGAATGGAGATGAAGATGGGACAAATACTCTCTTTGCACCAAGAACTGCAGTCAACGCTGAGTGCATTTGTGTCTAAAGTGGACAGGATAATTCAGTATTCTGATTCGCTTCAGCAGGCCAGTGTGCCCAAGCGACCTTACGTTACGAACGATGTTAATCTCTTCTATCGAATTAGTGCGCTTTTGCATAACGGAACAACCGTTCGCTTACAATTGATGTGTGAGTCACTGACTGGGTTTCACACTGTCAAAGATCAAGAAGGTTTGAAGATACGCTTGGATCGGGAGAATAGCTCGTGGATTCGGAAAACTATCGAAATCTCATACAAAGTCATGTTTTATGCTATGAAGCTCGTGGATTCGGAAAACTATCGAAATCTCATACAAAGTCATGTATTATGCTATGAAGGCTGGACTGGATAAGACAGTCAGTTTGGGCGGGGCGATTCCGGACTGGGGAGATTTAAAATCTGATATTGTTCAACTAGACGGTATTAGTGATGATGATCATAGGGCATTTCTCAAAGGCGGGGAAAACAAGGAGCTGCAAGAAGCATGGTTGAGGATTCAGCAAACTCTTGCGCCTCAGCTTCAAAATCGTTATTCCGAAATCTTCAAGTTGTATCAGGTGAAATACGTCAGTTTAGAGAAAGGTGGGCATGCATGGGTGTGCGAGAAGTGCATGAATAAAGGCCTTCGTTGTGGAATTTTGACATGTTAGGATTTTGAAGAGGTTAGAATGTCACTAGGCAATTGACAAGCATATGTTTAGACTGTCATGCAATATACAACTCTGCAAATTCTTCCTTGCAGTTTTCACAAGAAATCTTTTATAATCTTTGCCGTCATGTGAATCGCACAGTTATGTTTCTGAAGAAGATCAGTGTTCGGCTAAACTATCCAGATGACTTTTTGAGGGTAGAGTGTTCATATTGTCTCGTTGCAAGTCTCACTGTGATGAAAATCCTTCCCTTGACAGGTGAGGGTGGTCATGTTGAACTTCCAGACATATCCCTGATTGACTGATTCTTTTGTCCCACGATGAAGGTCCAACAAATGAAAGATGGACCGGAACTAAAATTTAAGATGTGTTATCATTTTCAAGTAGTATCCGTGTTTAAACAAGAGAGCAATATAGTCTAAAGAAAATGTTTTTTCTAGAATTCATGCACAATATCCGATCCGATATTTCACAAGATTTCTTAGGAGGCCGAACTCCAGTTCGAATGCATCTCACTGGTAAAACAAAACCTGTGCACAAATCTCTCTCCTATGATATATTGTTGAAGCGTTATCAGATTTTTTCTTTCCGTATTCTTCGTGCGACACCCTGATAACATACTTTTTCATAGCGGGGGGTTCTCAGTGCATTTTAAATCGCCAGCATGCTCAGAACTGTCACGTGTATAAATGTGGTAGTTTCGAATCAAGAATGCTTTTGCAATTGGACTGCGTGTGGACGTTAAGTTAAAGAGACTCTTTACGTGAAGCATACATTTTCAAAGGATACACTACCTGGTTTGCTGAATATCATGGGAAATGTGATTCTCGTTGCAAGTCCTTGACTAGGATATTCATTCTGCATTCATCTCGCAGAATGTTAATAACGTATGGTTTGATCGAAACAATCATGGCCGTTAGGTGGACGAGGCTTTCTCGAGTCTTTGATCAAAGACAAGAACAATCATGGTCATTGCAATAAATTGAACGGAGAAGGATATCACTAATCGATTAGATCCGGTCACACCACAGAAAATTATACATCTTTGATAATAGTTCAGAAAGTTGCATTCCAATTCTTGGGCATCAACGTTAATCAGGTTTAGCGAGACCCATAGGTTAGACTCAGCGGTGGAGAATTCGTCTACTATAGCTTGATATGAGGCCAATTCCGGCACCAAAAGAAAAAAAGTTGTCCGGGAACACTACAAGTAGCGATACACTATAGAGTAAGCTCTTCATCATTGTACAATGATGAAGAGCAGCGAATTCCTTTGGATTACGAGGAAGTATTGACACCTCGGATATGAAAGACTTTGAAGGTTTCCCCCGGAAGGTCTACCTCGAGCTGGCCTACGTGTATAGCGAAGGAAGCTCTTAGGTGCGCAGCTGAAGGGAGCAAAGCGATTTGCTGACCCTAGCTCCAGTAGATCCTCTTCTTGCCCTTTTGTACAACAAAAGGAAACAAAAAGCTGAAAAGGTTCTGCCAATCCGTATCTTCCCAATTCGTACAGTATTCCAAAACTCTTATAAAATCACGTATGTCAGCTGAATTTTCTTTTATAGAATAATTAAATCAGATATTCCTGCTGAATATAACGCGTAAAAACAGCTAGTAGTGTTATACTCCTAACTGAAGATGTACATTCAGAAAACAACACCAACGCCATTACCATCTGTACGAGATGAATTTGAGGTGAGGAAGTACCGGTGGCCTAAGAATTCGAGGTATCTAACGACTTGAATACTTGAACAGGATGTTGAAACTGTGCAGAATCAGATAGCATCCGAAGCCTAGATGGACCATAGAGCTGACGCATGACGGTACTCCCTTCGGCTCTTTTGAGGTTGTCGATAAGAAAGACGTAATTGTCTGAAGAACCGATAACACTTATTCATACGAGGAGATTAATAAACCTTTCTCCAGATGAGGCATGCCCTACACACCCACACACTTACGTTTTGGAACAAAAATCCACGACTTTTCCATAACAGTGGGTATGGATGCTGAACAGGGTCCCCTGGGAACAAGCCTAACTTATGCCAAATAAGAAATTTTGGGCGCGAAATTCTGATATTTCATGTGAGTTTCGCGTGGATGTGTAGAAGCGGTCCAAGCGTCAGTCAGGTCCAGGGGGGAACATGTAGCGAGGAGCGTTTGACCTGGGAATGAAGGCAAGTGGGAGTTGACTTCAGGACCAGGTGGGCACTACGAGGTGCCAGCGTCCGTGGAGCCTTTGACCCGTTCAGAGAGGATCATATCGTCTGCTCTCATGTGCACTCCTTAGACTCAACACTGGAAGTATTAGAATAAGTGGAAAGGGTCCATGGTCCCTCCCCAGTCAGCTTGTTGGATATGGGACTTGCTGGCACGAGGGAAGAAGGGAGGACTGCGAATCGGTATTCTTGTCTCGCCTGCCCATGTCCCTATCCGAAATTGCTCACCTTCTCCAGTTCTCAGCACGATCGGTATGAGTCCCACTGGGTCCTGACCCGTCCGTCCGGAGACTTCAAAATCGTGTGCACAGGATGTGTCTACAGAGTGCTCATGCTGTGGATTCCGTTGTCTGAGTTTTATTCTGGGGCCTTATTTTGGTTTCTTTCGGACTATGATGTGACAGAGGAGAATCGAAGGATACAGTTGTCAATGGTCATCAACTGGTTGGAAAGTTGACCGTCTGTCCCTTGCTGGAAGACTTGAGGAGAAGCATTGACGGAGGAGGCGTGAAGAAAAAAAAACAAAACGATACGGAAGCAGCAGCAGCACGATGTTTCTGATCCAGCTTCTCCGGAACAGAGTGCGACCCGATTGATTGATTGGTGTCGTCTTGCTTCTCTTCCTCCTAGTCCAGCAGCTGCGACACTCCCTCTCATGAAATTGTAACATGCTAATTTTGCTGTGATTGGGAAGAGTCCGCGGTCATCAAGGTAGGCTGAAGAGATCTTCACTTGCGGATAAATATTTACCATGTGGCCACTGCCTCGCAAGCTGTTGAACAAGATGTTCAATTTCTTAGATAAGCTGGATCAGCGAACCGAAGATTGTGAAGGATATTGATTCTTCTCTGTCTTCTTTCTCTTTCAGGTTTGAGTTTCCAGTCTCAAGTCTGTAAGAAAGGATGCTCGTCTCTGCCAATGCAATTAAATCATACAGAACCCACTGATCGCTACATTTTTCAATAAAAGATTTTGAATCAATAAAAGATTTTGAAGTTTATTGATGTCATTTGATTTTTTGTAATTTTATATAATTTTTTAAATAAATTTATGAAAGGTTCATTTTGTTTTATTTATTAAATAATGTGTAAAATTGTATAGATAACTTTTATTCTTACAGAATGAAAAATAATTTTCCCTTTATCCCATTGAAAGTACATTCCTTTGAATTTTGGAATCAATTTTTTTTTAAACTTACAAATTATACAATGAGATAAAAAAATAATGATCTTGAAATTTCTTATGTTATCAGTAGATGATACAAGAATACAAACATAACCCGTGGGGAAAAAAATGTTTAGTTATAGGAATCTGGGTCAAAAAGCTTTGATGCTATTTGTTGGACAAAAGATTTGTTATTATTTCAAATCATACGATTTTGACTTTATATATCTAAGAAAGTACTGATGAGTTTCATAGACATCGTAACTAGCAGAATTTTGATAAATCATCAACAATTTGACTTGCAAAAAATATTTTCTTTTTATTTTAATGTCCTGAATATACACATATTTATACTTTTTCAAAAGGATTTGTTGGCAATCAAGACATAAGAATAATCTTTGAAAAGTAACGAAAAATTTTAACAATTCATTTATGATCTGGAATTTTTTCAAAACATGAATTCAAGAAAAATAATTTGATAATGATTAAGATTTGTTAGGAAAATTTTGTTTTATCAAGAAATAAAGTCACAGTTATAAAGAACAATTAAAAGAACTTTGACGAACAACTGAAAAGATTTAAAACTCAGGCAAAATTTTAAAGAAATATAGAAATGTGAAAGACTCAAGAAATCTAAATGCATTCAGTAGTCTCAATGTAGATTATCATTCAAATGGTATGTGGAATTTTGAAAACTATTTACTAGCTGTCAGTTTTTTATATTATGTCCATAAAATCTATAATATTTTGAAATAAGGAAATTCTAAATCTTTTGATATTTCAAATAGATTGAGGTCATTCAGCAAATAAAAGCAAATAAAGATTGAAAATTATCAAGTTTTTTGATAGTTTCTTTTTGTCACACTATGATAAAATTGTATGATTGAATCAATATGCGGATATCTTTGATATTTAGTAACTCCATGATATAAAACTTACATGCATAGTTTCATTTGTAGAATGTATGTTGATATGATAATAAAATCTATATTATATTTTGATAAACATTTCTATATATAAAACAAAATTTTCCATCAACATTTCATCTTTTCAGAGTTGTTTCAACTTGAATAAAAAATGCATCAAAAGCTTTGATGTGTGTGGGTTTGTTGATATACACCTTTAAAAATGACTAATGACACTTTGATCACCTTCTTCTTTTAACTTTAGTAACAAAATTGTAAATATCTATCATTTTACCTCATAAATAGAGTTGTTTTCTTGAAAAATATGTTTGATGCATCAATTCTGATGATATATCTATTCAAAAGTTACTAAGAGTCAAAGCGCCAAATATTAAAAACAACTGAAAAAGTTTGGAAAATTGTACAACCAAAATCTCTAAAGCAGATGTTATACAAGCAGATGTTAATCGTAAGAACAATGTTATACAATGATGTCTTGTTTGAAACAATTCTTTAGATCTTGTTTATGAGTTAAACATTTTGAGATGGGAAGTATCATCAAATAAATATGCAAATTAGACTACGCATCCAATAGAAAGATATTTAATCACATTTTAAAATTTTGCAGCAAAACTATATCTGAATATGCTTTAAACAGAAAAAAGAGAGACAAAGAGATGAAATATAATGTTTACGTTTCAACTATTTTATCAAATGAGCAATGCGTTTTATCTCTTTCATATGACATGTTTGGATTTGTGATATGAGCACAGAGTGCAAAAGTGGCAGTATGACTTGTTTCATTTCAGTAGATATATCAATTATTTGACTTTACATGTACT